GTATAAACACTTCATTTACCAAGAAATTTGGCATATTTTGTCCGCGTTTTGTATATAAAAAAGTTGTTTTATAGATGCAATTAAAACATAAAAAAGGGTTTAATAAAGTTGACAAACGATTAAAAGCGTGACCAGAAAAAAATGCAGCTTTTATTCTGGCGATTAGTTTTTGTGATCTGGTTGGTGTTGATGCGAAGAATGTGACCTGTGTTAGCTTGACATCTACCTGGTAAAAGCGTTGTATTCTTGTCCTCTTTGGGTTGGAAGTGTGGTTCTGTCTCAAGTGTAGGAGTTTGATCACCTCTGGGTTTTGTTCACACGTGGGTGAAGAATGAGGCATGAGATCTACAAACAGATCGGTGCAGCTTCTGCAGCATTGTGGCCTCTGAGTCYATCTGTCATGGTGAAGAGGGTGCTGAGCTGTTACCAGYCKGTGTTCCTGCCCTCACCTGTAATCGTGACCTCTGAGTAGTGACTGAAAGAACCAGATTGTGGACATAGACGGTCCATCCACCTATTATCTTCTGGAGCWGTTGTGTGTCAAGTTGAGCTCAACAATGTCTAGTCTGTACCTCTAAACCTTACGCACAAACTCAGGATCTTTCCCTAACAGAAATGTAACCCATGTCCCAAGTGCCATCTTTGGTAAGCCAGAGTGAGAACACCAAGGACCCCGCCTTCAGCTACTGAGCTCAACTGGACCCCATAGAGACCCAGTCAACAGGTGCTGTCCCAGGCCTGGCTTCAGTGTGTGGCCCCAGAAACCCACATCCAGTCAGGGAACATCAAGCTCCTGGATTTTTCTCATCTATAAAAGTCTTTTGAATCACTCTTGGCCTAGTTGAAGCAAACAATGATTTTTGACATGAAGGGGTGGAAGACTCAAAGCTGCCAACTCAATGACAGTTTTTATAATGCAACTGCAACATCGAGAGACAATTTCAGCAGTTCGGTTGGAGTATGTGGAGAACTTTAGAGACTGGCTGAGGAGTTCAGTTCTCCAGGAGAGACTGCTCCTCCACATCCAGAAGAGTCAGTTGAGGTGGTTCATCTGGTAARGATGACCCTTGGACGCCTCWKTAGGGAGACATGTCYGAATGGGAGGAGACCCTGGGGAAGACCCAGGAGGTCTGGGGACACTTTGGAGTCCTCCCAGAAGAGCTGGAGGAGGTGTCTGTGGAAAACTAGGTTTAGATCTCCCTGATCAGGCTGCTGACCCCCCGAGACCTGACTCTGGATRGATAGAACTGGATAGGAATGTTCTTGTTCCAGTTGTGTGAGATACACACAACTACATGATGTTATCCTGCAGCAAAGGCAACACGTGACACATGGGCAGAGTTGTAAAGTAACTAAGTACAAATACTTTGTTACTGTACTTAAGTAAAAATTTTGGTTATCTGTACTTTACT